AGGCAGGGCCTGATGCGGAGTGGGAGATATCTCTGCTGTTTGATGCCTGTGTCCCTGGTCCTCAGTGTGGCCAAAGGCCAGTCTGGACACCCAGCCCTTCAGCTTTGAGAAAGGTATAGTTTGGGAGTGTTGTCACCTTAGTCCCTCCTCTCTGATGGCTGCCTTGGATGGGGTGGGAGGGAAGACTGTCTTAGTTATCTGGTGCTGCTAAAACCGAAATACCACAAGTGAATGGCTTTGACAAACAGACATTTATTCTCTCACAGTTTAGGAGGTTAGAAGTCTGAAGTCAGGTCTCCAGCTCTAGGAGAAGGCTTTCTCTGTGTGTCGGCTCTAGGAGAAGGTCCTTATCTCCTTCAACATTTGCGGGCCTGGTGTTCCTTGAAGACCTCCATATGTCTTGATATCAGTCTTCCCCTGGGTCTAGCATGCCCTCAGTGCAGGGACCCTGGGTCCAAAGGATAGACTGCACTCCCAGCTCTTCTTTCTTGATGGTGCTGAGGTCCCTTCTGTGCTGGCTTCTCTTTCTATTTATCTCTTGTAAGATAAAAGGTGATGCAGGATACACCCCAGGTGAACTCTACTTGAGAACAGGGCTGTGACCTTAGTAAGGATGTCACATCCCACCCTAAACCGCTTACAATAGATTGGCTGATCACATCATGGGAGATGATTACATCATTACACAACTGCCAGATCACATCATTATATAGCTGCCAAACCACTTAGAAGTATGACACAGCCACCAAGTTGACACATATTTTTTGGGGGACACAATTCAATCTGTGACAAGGACAATCTGCCAAGTATGAGATAAGAACTCTTTCTCCTGAAGAAGAAGGCTTGAGGGAGACACTTTTTCTCAACTTCTGGTCCCAGGAGCACAGGCAGGAGGCTGAGGTCAGGGCTCAGACAGCTGCTGGGCCTTTTTGAAATCTTTGGCCAGATTTCTTACTGCTGCTTTATAATGAACAGTGTATACATTTGATTTGAAAGGACCAAGTGCATTTAACATGAAAATTGGCTATATTCCTTCAGCTGGTTTCCTCAGCTGGTATGGTGCAGTTAATTACTTGGTATGGCTTTTCTAGGAGCTCTGGTGGTGTAGTGCCTAAGGCATTTGACTGCTCACCAAAAGGCTGGTGGTTCAAACGCACCAGCCACTCCTCAGAAGGAAGATGGGGCAATCTACTTCATAGAAATACTACCTCCGAAACCCAAGGTGGGGTCACTATGAGTCAGGACTGACTTTACAGCAGTGAGTGTGGTTTTTTTTATTGTTGGTTTTCTAGCCAGTCTTTAACTCCTGGGAGCTCTGGTAGCATAGTGCCTAAGGCACTTGACTGCTAACCAGAAGGCTGGCGGTTCAAACCCACCAGCCACTCCTCAGAAGGAAGGTTGGGCAATCTACTTCCGTAGTGATAGTGCCTCGGAAACCGAAGGAGGGGTCGCTATGAGTTGGGTCCGACTCGACAGCACATAACAACAACAACAACAACAACTTTAACTCCTACCAGATTGCTGGGTGGGACCATGCAAATAAGGTATGTAGAACTCTGATGTTGGGATTGGTTAGTTTTGTCACTCTGCCAGGGTTAAAATGAGCCATCCTAGAGCAGCGAGGGGATCTTACTGCCATCAAGAGAGGAGAGCTGGAGGTGAAGTGGAGCACATCTTTGGACCCAAGATCCCTGGACTGGACCTCCTTGACAGAGACGCCCAGCAGAGAGATGCCTGGTACAGAGGCACTGACAGTGGAACCAAGAGACACGAAACAGAGTGGTGAGGCTTTCTGGCCCACAGAGTAAGAAAGCTGAGTGCCCTTGGGTGCACCCATTCGCAGAGCTAAAAGAGCTTTGTAACATTTGCCTGAGCAGGGAAGAGGCCAGGCCGAGAGGCCAGAGCTCATAGAGGCTTGCCTGAGGGCATAGCAGAGGGGAGACTGTCCCGATTGAAGAATTGTATTCTGAGCCTGACTTATAGCCTGTTACTTCCCTAAAACCCCATAATCGTGAGTATTGTCTTTGAGTTCTATGTGGCCATTGCAATGGATTAACTGAACCCAGCAGAGAAGTAGTGAGTGCCGGGGGAGGGAGAGCTGGTGTCAGAATTGGCAAAAACGTTGAAGGGTGCTGACATGTCTGGCCTCATAGGAATAAGCCTTGGGCTGCTGATGGTGATTCTGCCTCCCTCTTGTGAAGTTAGAGGAGGTCAGAAGATGCCGATCTCATGCCCTTTTTGCAGCTGGCCAGACTGATGTAATTAATTGATTAATAAACTAGTCCAAGGTGGCTGGACTAATTTGTTTCTTGTTGTTGCCGCCGTCCATTGATTCCTACTCATGGCGACCCCATGTGTGCAGAGCAGAGCTGCTTCATCGAGTCATCAAGGCTTTGGCCTTTCAGAACCAGATCGCTAAGGCTTTCTTCTGAGGTGCCTCTTTATTTTATTTTTGAAGATTTTTATTGTGATTTGGGTGAGTTTACAGAGCACATTCATTTTCTATACAGTAGTTCATACCCATTTTGTTTCATGACATTGACTATAATTCCCCACAGTGTGAAAACTCTCTTCCCACTTCCTCCCAATAGTTACCTCTTCCCTGTGTCCTTCTCTCCCATGCACTTCTGCCCCCCGCCCCCCAGATGTCTCCCTGTGCAAACACTGCCCTTCTGTTCTCCCATGATTGATCACTCCAAGGAATGTATCTACCTGATGTAAATGTTCACCCCATATGTCTGTCTATTGTTTGACTGGAAGCCACAGGAGTGAGTTCAATTCCAGACCTGAAGGGTAACTAGGAGCCATAGATTTAGGGGTCTCACCAGGCTCTATCAGACCAGCATGATTTTTTTCATGATTTTGAGTTTAGTTCCACATTGTTTTTGCACTCTATCCAGAATCTCCTGCACCAATCCCCTGCCGAGTGGTTGACAGTGGTAGCCAGGCACTGTCTAGTTCTTCTGGTCTCATAGTCATATAGGTTAAGGATCACATGGTCTACCAGTCTCTTGGACTAACTGTTTCTATGGTTCTTTGGTTTTCTTCATTCTTCTTTGCTCTGAATGAGGAGAGAACCATTGCCTTCAGGTGGCTGCTTGCAAGCTTTTAAGACCCCAGTTGCTACTCACCAAAGTAGGATGTAGAACAATGTTTTTGTTGTTGAAAGACCTAATCCAGTTGAAAGACCGAGGCCAGGTCCAACTACTTGCTCCATCTGGGTAGCTGGCTGTGGCCAAGAAGCCACCACAGCCTTGTCCCTTGTCAGCTTTACTATATTGAGGTGCCTCTTTATTTCTTAGAATCTTTATGTCCTTATATTTTAGACTTGTGCTGAAAAAGAAAACAAAAAACTGTTTATCTGCTCCTTTAATTTCCTTTCCCTTGAGTAGCATACATACAATGTTTCCAGGGGGCGGGGAGAGCATTTGTTCTTTTTTATCTTCCAATTTTGTCCCTAGTATAAAAATACCATTGTCCCAATGGTTGAGTAGGTAGTTCTAGAGTATTTCAGGGAGCATTGAAGATGGAGTTGGAAGACCTATCATGCATCCCAGCTCTGCAGCTGGCGTGGTGATCTTGGGCAAGCCTGTGCCTTTGTGTCTCAGTTACCATGTATGTAGTGCACCATCCATCCTTCCACGAAGACTTTGTGATTCTGAGACTTCCTGTGTACTCGTGTATCTGCTGGTCAGTCCCTCCTGGTACCTGGAGTTCATTCACATGTGGATTCCGTCATTCATACATTCATCAAGTACTTGTGGGCCACTGCAGTATGCTAGGCAACGTTCTCCCCTACTCATGGCCACTGAGTCAAATCTGACTCATAGTGACCCCTCCTTGGGTTTTCAAGGCAGTATCTCTACAGAAGTAGATAGCCCAGTCTTCCTTCCGAGGAGTGGCTGGTGGGTATGAACCGCCAGCCTTCTGGTTAGCAGTCAAATGCCTTAGACTCTATGCCACCAGAGCTCCCAGGCAATGTTCTGTTGTTGTTGTTATGTGCCATTGAGTCAGACCCAACTCATAGCGACCCCTCCTTGGGTTTCCGAGGTGGTATCATTACAGAAATAGATTGCCCAACCTTCCTTCCGAGGAGTGGCTGATGGGTTTGAACTGCCAGCCTTCTGGTTAGCAGTCAAGTGTTTTAGGCACTATGCTACCAGAGCTCCTAGGTAATGTTCTAGGCACTGGAATGTAACAGAGAACAAAACAAAGTGCTATTCTGACAGTGTGTAGAGTCTTGTGGGGAAGACAGATATGGGATTGGTAATTATTTAGCAATGTGGGATGAGTGACATGATGGGGAAAGTAGAATTTAATGAGGACCTAATCCAGTTGAAAGACCTCTAATGGCATAGTGCCTAAGGCACTTGACTGATGTAAATGGTATTTGATTGCTAACCAGAAAGGTGGCAGTTAAAACCCACCAGCCACTCCTCGGAAGGAAGACTGGGCAATCTACTTCCGTAGAGGTACTGCGTCAGAAACCCAAGGAGGGATCACTATGAGTCAGGTTTGACTCAGTGGCAGTGAGTTTGGTTTTTCTGGTTTGAGTAATCCAGTTGAAGGGACAGGGAAGGCTTTGCAGAAGAGATCCTTAGGCTGAGACCTGAAATAGGAGTTAGTATAGGAGTGGGTAGAAGAAGAAAGAGAGTGAAATCTTGTTGGGGAGGGCTCCTTTTAAGATGGACTGGGGAGAGATGAAGCTATGAATGTCTGCAAGGCCTGGTGGGCCACACAGGACAATTTGGACTTTATCCTGTAGATAGTGGCAGGCCCTGAAGGATTTTCTAATCAAGGGAGTAGGGTGGCCTGATCATTACTTCAGAAGCCGCATTCAGGGTGGAAAGGGCCAGATTGGGACGGGAGGCCATTGGGAAGCTGTTGTCATAATCCAGGCAGAGGTGACAGTAGCCTGGACCAGAGTAGTGCCTGTGGGGGTGGGAAACTTTGGAGGGACTTGAGAGATGTTTAATCCGTGGCCTGTTGTGGCTTCAGAAATGAGTAAGCCCAGTTACTATGGGCTTACAGAGTATTTCCTCCTATTCCTAGAGGTGACAAGTGATATGCTGACCAGCCTGCCGGGGCCCAATGTTACCCTGACCTGCCCAGGTGTGGAACCAGGAGACAATGCCACCGTTCACTGGTTGCTCAGGAATCAGGTTATTGGTTCAGACCACAGCAGATGGACCAACATGGGGAGGAAGCTGCTTCTGAAGTCAGTGCAGCTAAGTGACTCTGGAAACTATTCCTGCTACCGGGATGGCAGCCCAGCTGGGACCGTGCCCCTGCTGGTGGAGGGTGAGTGGTATCCTGGGAGACAGCTTCTGGGCAGCTTTGTGCATTCCAGAGAGATTCCTTGCCTGACCCTTTACACTCCTTTTATTTCCCTGACCCAAGGATTTCAGGGAAAGGCCTACTGAACGTCTGCCAGCAAGTTGCTTGTGGAGACGCCTGCAGGGTGGAGGCTTCTGGCCAGTGGGGAATGAATGCCATGGCTGGCCTTCTTGTGCCTGTGTGTTAGAGTTTATGATGGGTGGGTTAATACATTGAGTCCCAGAGCCAGATGGCCTGGGCTTGAATCTTCCCTGACGTTCAGCTTAACTTTTCTATCCCTCAGTTTCTTCTTTGGTGAAAAAAGGGTAATGTTACTACTTTACCTCAGAATTGCTGCAAAGATTAAATGAATGTGTGGATGTGTGTTTGTGTGTGTGACACGTGTATCATGCTTAAAACTCTATGCAGCGTTTGCTGAGCTCTCAGGTTAACTCTTCTTATTTTTAGAACCAAGAAGTTCTTAGCTCTCTCACGTCTTGATGAAGGGGCAGGAGGAAGAAAGAATTTATAGAGGCAGATGCCTTGTGTGCTAAGCCCTGTGCACTTTCTTACTTGGTATCTCATGTAATTCTCTCAGTGACCTATGAGGGAAAGCAGTGTATTCTTTGTAAATTTTATAGATAAGGAAACTGAAAGAGAGATTGAAACTTATTCAAGGCCACACAGCCAGATCTGTGTGACTCCAGAGCCCTAGTTCTTTTCAGTCAGTCATGCCCTGTCCCTTTTAGGTAAGTTAGCAGCCAGGGTGCCTCCTTTCCTTTGTCTTGCATCCCAATTCTCAACCTGGAATGAAGGCTTGGTTGAACTGTCACTTCGAGCCACAATTAGAGTGGCATGTGCTGAGTTTGGGCAAGGTGTCCTGAGTCATGGCTGGCTCTGGTAGGTTGGGGGTTGAGCCAAGCGCCCCCTTAGAAGAGAGGCCAACACTGCTGGTCTGACCTGAGGTGCATGCCTGGGAAAGCCCTGTCTGCCTCCTCAGGCCTGCTGTGCTCTTCTCTGTTTCAGTTCCTCCTGAGGTGTCCCAGCTCTCCTGCTTCCAGAAGAGCCCTATCAGCAGTGTTTGGTGTGAATGGAGTCCTCACAGCACCCCCTCCCCCACGACCAAGGCCATGTTGGTGGTGAGGAAGTTGTAAGTGTCTTGGGCTGGGCTTTGTTTGTGTTTCTGTCTCCTCCTTACTCAGGCCCCCAGAGTGGGGTGGCTGGCCAGAGATTCCAAAATTTTATCTATAGAGAGTCATTCTTTGATACTAAGAGGAGGGAATGAGAGAGGGGATTGAGACTTACATAGTCATGCTTATCCTGTGCTGGGCACTATGCCAGCAACTTGGCCTCATCAACTCATTTGAACTATCACAATAGTCCTGGGAAGTAGATATTGTTTTTCTCATTTAACAGAAAGGGAAACAGCTTTAGAAGAGAGATTCATTAACTTGTCAAAGATCATCTAGCTAGTAAGTGGCTCTGCTGGGAATCAAACCCCAGTCTGATATCATTCAAAGTCCAGAGGTTTTGGGTGTTGCTCTGAAGACAATGCAAACCACCCTGGGAGGGGCAGTATAGCCAGCCCATTATCAGTGTCCAGGCTATTTCCATTGTAAAGACTGGAGAAGAAGTGGTGATGGGGTCAGGGGAACGGAGCTGGGGGCCATGGGGCGGGAAGTCATGCCTGCCTTGGTGTCCCTGGGCCTTCAGAGCATCTCTACCAAGCCTGCTAAGTGGAGAGACCTGGGATGGGTGTAAGTGTAGATGTAGAGGAGGTGGAAGATGCTGAAAACAAATATACCCCTCCAGTTTTGCCTGTCTTCTCCAAAAGCCTAGGTCCCCTTGGTTCAGATGCTTATAATGGAGTATGGGCTGTCAGTCATCAGAGTATCAAAATCAGAGCAGTGACTTCAACTGGGTGGTTTGACTTCCACTTGTGTTTGTCCCTAGAGAATCTCTAGGTTGCCTGGTAGTAATGTTTATATCCTGGCCCCATGCAGAAATATAAAAGTTACCTATCTGCCATTGGAACTGTTAGCTTGCACCCCAAGTAAGGAAGACTGGAAGTTACAACACGAAGCTGGGTGTGCGTGTAAGTTATCTGGGACTTGGAAGGCATTTTTTCCTAGGCAGGATGTTCCACACAGTGCCTGGCAGCTTCCCAGACCAGCCCACAGAAAGCTTACTCAGTGGACACCTCAGCTAGAACACCCTAATCCCCTGACAACTGTTGACAGTGAGAACAGGAAAGAACAAGGTGTTTAGCTCACACCTTCCTGCGGCCCAGCCTCAGTGCCTGCAGCAGCCTCAGGCACCTGCAGCTTCTCTGTCCTCCCAGGCTTCAGGTCTGCTACTAACAGTGGCTACTGAGGCCTTTGAACTAAGGAAGGGGAAGTCGGAGTGACTGTGAGAGCCTCAGGGACTCTAGAATACACTCAGGCCCTACCCAGCCTGGGCTAAAAAAGAAAACCAAACCAGATTCACTGTCAAGTAGATTCTGACTCATAGCCATTGGATTTCTAAGGTTGTGAATCTTTATGGAAGTGGATTACTCCATTTTCTTCTGCAGAGCAGCTGGTGGGTTTGAACTGCTGACCTTCTGGTTAGCAGCCCAATGCCTTATCCACTATGCCACCAGGACTCCTTCCAGTTGGGACTGCTGGGGGTGTATTCTGCTTTTTCTCTTGGTGTGTGCACACATCCACACTGCTTTTCCCTCATTCATTCAATAAGCATTCGGTCCCGTGGCCCAGGCACATGCTGGGACCTTGGGAGAGGCATGAGAGGCTAAGACTTGGGGGGGGGGCACCCCTATAAGCTGGCTGATGCCCCCATCTTCTCAGTGTTAGGTGGGATGGAAGCCTGGGTGGTACTCAATGGAGGGAAGAGGGAGGATTGAGGCAGGTTTCACTGAAGGAGAGAGTTCCTTCCATGTACTGGACTCAGACCTGGCTCAGAGTTTGAGTCAGAGGTTGGTGACTCACCCCAGTGGCAGGGTGGGTAGCTGCGGAGGCCTCACATGTCTGTGTCAGAGGCGTATCTAGGGTATGGCAGGGATGGTACATGCCCTGGGCACCACTTGAAGGGGACGTCAGTGAGCAGTTTCCATGGCCGGCTGTGAGAGGTCATTCAGCAAGTTAAAACTAATTGCCATAGGCGATGTTTCCTGTAGATATGCCGTCTATACAAGTCACAGGTAAGTGAATCTCAGGCATCTTGCTCACCTATGTCTTAAGTCTCCCAGAATCCTTTCTTGGGCTCACCTGCCGGAAATGCTCTCTCCTCCCTGCCAACCCCTCTAGCACTTTGTGGTTTTGGAATGCCGTTTTCTACCAGCTATTGCCATCATCTGAGGATGGGGCTCTTTGTTAGTGTCTTGAGGCTTGGGTGGGGCCTTGATTCATTTCTGACTCCTCACCTCCAAGCCAAGAACACAGGACCTGGCACTGTGCTAGAACTCATCAAACATCTCATGCTGAAGTGATTGGCTAAGCCCTCAGGTTTAGTACCTTTGACCCCTCTGTGCTAGGTGCTAAACTAGATGTGTCACAACATTTCTTAATCCTACCAAAAACCCTCTGTGGCGGGTACTATTAATATTCCCATTTTCAAGTGAGAAAATAGAGGTTCAAAGAAGGAGTATAATTTACTCAAGAGGAGCGCAAGAGCAGGAAACGCGGAGCTGAGGTACAAAGCCTGGTGATAGACTTCACAGCCTGACTTCAGACTCTTGGTTTTGACCTTCTCTACCCTCTTGAATCGGAAGGAAGGTTGGGCAATCCTACTTCCGTAGTGATACTGCCTCGGAAACCCAAGGAGGGGTCGCTATGAGTCGGGGCCGACTCGACGGCACATAACAACAACAACAACAACAACCCTCTTGAATAAATGCAGAGACTAATATTCCAACCCTGCCCTTATTTTGTGTCCAGCAGTCAGAAAAAATTGGAAGACTTCCAGGAGCCATGCCAGTATTCCCAGGAATGGCAGAAGTTCTCCTGCCAGTTGAAGGTTCCAGAGGGAGACGGTTCTTTGTACATGGTGTCCCTGTGCGTTGCCAACAGTGTCGGCAGGAATTTCAGCAGAATCCAAACATTTAAGGGTTTAAGTATCCGTAAGTGAGCTTTTCCAGACCTCCCACACTCTAGCTTCTTTTTAAAATTTAATATTAGTCCTTGGGTGGTACAGATGGTTAAGCACTCTACTTGTAACTGAAAGATTGGTGGTTTGAACCCACCCAGAGGCACCTTGGAGGAAAGGTCTGGCATTCTGCTTCCGAAAGGTCACAGCCATTGGGAACCCTGGGGAGCACAGTTCTACTCGGACACACATGGGGTCGTGACGCATCTCATAGACTCGACAGCAACTGGAGACTGGGTAGACTTCTTGAAGGGCAAAAGAGAGGGCCAGTGGAGGCTGTCAGAATAGCATGGTGGAGGCTTCTGACCTTCTCTAACTTCACAAAGGCTGAGAAGGATCATTATCAGCAAGCTGAGGTCAGACAAGCCCTTCAACCATTTCACCAATTCTGACTCCAACTGCCCCTTGCACAGTACTCTCTACTTCTCTGCTGAGTTCGATACATTGCAGTGGCCACACAGAACTCACAATACTTACAATTATGGGGTTTATTAGGGAAGTAACAGGTTATAATTCAGGATCAGAAACAACTCAGGATACAGTTCTTCAGTCAGGGTAACCTCTTCTCAGAAGTGCCTATAGGCACACCCTCTCCGGCTCTCTGGCCCTTGGCCCCATAGTCCCTTAGCTTCTGCCTTGCTCCGGCAAGTTGCACAGCTCTTTTGGTTCTGTGGATAAGTGCTCAGAGACACTCCACTCTGCCAGTAGCCTCAGCACAAAGGCACTCAGCTCTAGCTCCCTGGGTTAGCTAACCATAGCTCCACCAAGTGCCTAGAGGCACTCCTCTCTACCAGCAAACCGACTGTCTGAATGCACTCAGCTTTCTCACTCTGTGGGCCAGGAAGGCCCACTGTCCCATCTCCTGCTGGTCTCCTAGTTCTGCTCCTTTGCTGCAGCTGCTGCTTGACATTTCTTGCCTTCTCTCCAGTGTCACAGCTCTCTATCTCCTGGATCTTGGGAAGTTCCCAGTGCAGGGACCCCAGGTCCAAAGGGCGCACTCTTCTCCTGTCTCTTCTTGGTGATAGTCAGCCCCCCCCCATTCCACCTCTGGAATGGCTCATTTTAAGCCTAGTGCAAAAGTGACCAATCCCCACATTCCAGTTCTGTACGACTTATTTGCATGGTGCCACCCCCACAAGAGTGCCATGCAAGCTATCTAATCCCCTTGGTTGAACTACAAAACACCTCATATTTGCATAGTCCCACCTAGTCATCTGATGGGAGTCACAAAGACCATGGCTAGAAGGGCTATGAGAAGCAATTCACTGCACCAGAAGGGGTTTGGTGAGTTGGTGCTTTGGGGCTATATTTGGCCATAGCTCTAACTGTGGTGCGCAAGGGCCCGGCAGAGATGTGCGTGATGTTCCTGGGAAAGTGGGCTTGTGGCAGGAGTCGGGGTGGGGGGCTGGCAGAGTCTCTGGTCTCTCCTCTGTTCCATATTTGCTGCTGCATAGGACTCATGGTCTCTTTTCCTACAGTGCAGCCTGACCCGCCCGTCAACATCACAGTCACCACCGTGGTCAGAAAACCCCACCGGCTCAGTGTCACCTGGCATGCTCCCCCTTCCTGGAACTCTAACTACTACCAGTTACAGTTTGAGCTCCGATATCGGGCAGAAGTGTCAAAGACATTCACAACGGAGATCGTAAGTTGACCTTTCACTTCTGTACCAAAAACTGCCCCTTGGTGCTCCAGAGTAGTAGAAAGGTACTATTGTGTTGTTGTTATTATGTGCCATCGAGTCGGACCTGACTCATAGCAACCCCTCCTTGGGTTTCCGAGGCAGTATCACTATGGAATTAGATTGCCCAACCTTCCTTCCGAGGAGTGGCTGGTGGGTTTGAACCGCCAGCCTTCTGGTTAGCAGTCAAGTGCCTTAGACACTATGCTGCCAGAGCTCCCAGAAAGGGTACTAGGAAGGAAAAATGAGCTCTAGATTCTGCTTTGCAACTTACTACCTGCATGGCCTTGGATAAATCTCTTTCTGAGCCTCAGTTGCTTTCTTTATAAATGGGAACAATAATGCCAGGCTGATCTCTTCACAGACCTTTGTGATAGAGGGTTTAGGCATTTGTTTATGTGTTCATTTGGAGAGAATCCATATACTATAGAGTTGAGTTGGCTGTAATCTTTATGGAAGCTGCTCACCAGGCCTGGAACTTCTGTGGTACCACTGGGTGGGTTCAAACTGCAACCTTTGGGTTACTAGTCAAGTGCAGACTGTCTGTGCCACCCAGGGACCGATGTGACTAGGAAGAAATTTGGAAGTGGATGTAAAGAGGGTGGTTGTTGATAAAGGATATGAGATTCTGGGAGTTTATAATGGCGGTAGGGTGGGGCAGTGACTTATAGCTCAGTTTATGGAGGCCCTGAGGGCAACCTCATCTTACTCTGAGCCTCCAGGGTGGTGTGAGTCTTTGGGGCATCTCTGCTTAGCTCCTTTACCCACTGGAGCAGTTGAAGACAGAAGGGTGGCCAAGGGCATTCTATTCCTGTGGAGGCCTAACCAGCACCACCCAGGCCCCCACCCCAAGGTCACTGTGCCTCTCGCCTTCAGGTCAAGGAGTACCAGAACCGCTTTGTCATCTACGATGCCTGGAGGGGCATGAGGCATGTGGTCCAGATTCGGGCTCAGGAGGAGTTTGGGCACGGCTTGTGGAGCGAGTGGAGCCAGGAGGTCACAGGCACCCCTTGGATAGGTACTGTGGTGGAGGCGGCGGGACAAGGAGATGTTTCAGTTCTGTTACTATATCAATTACTAGTGTTATGTAAATGTAACTGGTCACCCCAAAACTAGTGGCTTAAAACACCATTTATATGGCTCGAAATTCTGAAAATAAATCAGCTAGGCAATTCTTCTGCTGATCTTGCCTAAATCGTTAGTGCAGTGGCAATCAGGTCTGATTAGCCCAAGATGGCCTCACTTACATCTGAGTGCCGGTGCTGGCTGGTGGCTGGGACCCTTGGTTCTCCCTGAAGCCTCAGTTCCAATAGGCTAGCCCATACTCAGCAGGTGGGAAATTCAACTCCACAGGTTGATGGGATGAGTTGTAAAGAATCTGTGACCATAATAATTAATCCTGCCATAATTACTGATGCTTTTTATTTTCAAAAAGATGTTAAATGTAATCATAATTCCCTTTTGGGATTATTGAAATCAGCATATTTGTTATAGAACATGAAAACTTTTAGGGAAATAGGAAGATAATCATTATCACCAGTATTCTTACCACATTGAGAATTTTTTTTATCATATTTCTTTCAGTTTTCTAGGTATATTAGTATATGTGTATATAACATAGAGACCACATCCTATATTAGGAGCTCTGGTGGCATAGTGCCTAAAGTACTTGACTGCTAACCAGAAGGCTGGTGGTTCAA